GATATTAAGAAGAAAATAAAATTTTTTGCAATTTTTCCATTTATAAAGGGGCATAACTCTAGAACGGTTAAAGTGATGCCACCAAAATTCAAACTTGATCTGTGTTTTGTGGTAATAAGCATTGTGTATAAGTTTCATAACATTTGGTTGAGGCAAACTTAAGTTAGAGAACAGAAACTAAAAATTTTGCAATTTTTCCATTTATAAAGGGGCATAACTCTAGAACGGTTAAAGTGACGCCACCAAAATTCAAACTTGGTCTGTGTTTTGTGGTAATAAGCATTGTGTATAAGTTTCATAACATTTGGTTGAGGCAAACTCAAGTTAGAGAACGGAAACCAATTTTGGGACGTACGGACGGACGTACATACGGACGTACGTACAGACGGACAAGGGTAAAACTTAATGCTACGGCGGGGGCATAAAAATGGTAAAATTTGTCATTTAAGGGCAATAATTCTTATAAGAGGTCATTGAGACAGTTTTGATGTAAATAGTAGGGATGTCAACGAGTACTCGAGTATTAGAGAATCGCTCGGTAGTACCAAGTATCGAATACCAAAACGATATTCGACTAATCGGTTTCCTGTTAGAATATTGCTGTCTTCTTTATATAAAATTGTTCTTCTTTAGAACCTCTTTCAGATAATTAAATATTCATCACTGATTAATCATACTAGTAAATAAAATACATTTTGTTTCGAATGCTTGTGCTAAATTGTTATTAAAAAAATGCGTGGGCTATATCAGGCTTATACTTTAAACTTAACATGTCTTAGCCATTCTATCACATCGGTACCGTCAGAGCAAATATTTTCGTCTGCAAGACTGTAATTTACAAAGTTGCAAAACTGACTGTCCCCAACAATAGTTGACAAGAAAATGTTTCCAAAATAAATTTGTTGCATCCTCTAGTGACCCTCAGTGAATAGTTAAACTTCTAATCCTTATGCCTTTGTAAACATTAAATGTGTTTTCTTAACGATTACCAAATACTTTTGTTTGATCTGGTTTTTCCTTGTTATGCTTTTTAAATAGGTGTTCATTAAATTAATATATTGTTTTTTTGCTTAATTAGTACTTGTATGTAATGAGCTATTAATTATGGTGTGTAATTCCTTGTCTCAGATATTTATGTAGATGGTTTTTCGCACGTTGAACAACAAACCACATAATGTAAAGTTATATTTTTGTGTTTCCATGTTGTAGATATATTCCCTAGCGAGTACTCGAGTATCGCTCGATAAAACCAACGATTACTAGATTATTAATTGTTCACCGAGTTGACATCCCTAGTAAATAGACATCATTTTGGAAAGAATTCTGCTCAAACCGGTGCTAGGGGCCATCTTAAACTTGCAGTGAGGTGAGAGATTTTTTCACCTTTCATTTGATACATTAATTACTAAAATATATTCTACATAGTTTCATATTTACACCTATGCATAAGGACTATTTTTTAAAAAATATGTACTACCGGTACTTTCCAGTATGTTCTTTTTTGACCTGGACCGATTTGGTGGTGTTACTGTACATCTTACAAAGTCTATTCGAATCATTTTGCAAAGAATTCCCCTCAAACCGTTGCTAGGCTAGGGGCCATCTTCAACTTGTAGTGAGGTGAGATTTTTTTTGGCTCCGTGTTGAAATCCTCACTGTGACTTTGAGATGAAGAACAGCAATAAAAGCGCTGTTCCTTTGCTTTTGGTGTGTTTATTGCTGTGCATGTACTGATTTTGTGTCATGGATGGATATACCCCATATCCTTAGTTTTTTTATTATATAAACAGAGTTTGTCTTTCGTGCTGTGTGGAGGCCCTAGAAAGTTTCCCCGTGCTTGATATGTATTCTCTTCTGTATTTTTAAAGTTATGGTGTATTTATTCTTGAGATAACTTCTCTTATGTGTGCAACATCATTCTCTCAATTTTAAGCCAGTTTGTGTACTAAAACTTTAACAAGACACACACCACCTATTCTTAGCCCTCATTCCTATCCACATTAAATTTTTTACTTCCAAATATTTTAGTAGGGGAGAGATCAATATACCATTATTTATACATCAGACCGTACTGGTTACCGGAACTTTGGATACACCAAACCAGGTACTTCATATCTGAGAAACAGGCAATATATGCCCTCAATTTAAGAATTCATTCATACATTTTTGTATTATTCAAAATTATCAGTCCATATATGGTCTACAAGGATCACCAGTCCTTCACCTTTCACTTGATACCTTAATTACTAAAATATATTCTACATAGTTTTATATTTACACCTATGCATAGGAACTATTTTGCTTTAAATATGTACTACTTTTCAGTATGATCTTTTTTGTTCTTTTCTTACAGAGTCTATTTGAATAATTTTGCAAAGAATTCCACTCAAACTGGTGCTAGGGCCCATCTTAAACTTGCAGTGAGGTGAGATTTATTTTGGCTCTGTGTTGATGACCATCTCAACATTCTAAACTTTCCTGCCACTGTCATCTTTTCTTTATCAACAGCAGTTTTCAAGATAATCGTCAAAACTTGCATTATACCCCTATGTTCTATTTTTAGCCATGTTGGCTATATTTGTGTGCAGGGGGTATATAATCAGACTCATTCTCTTAAACTAGTTACCCCAAATGATGATTGTGGCCAAGTTTGGAATCAATTGGTCCAATAGTTTCAGAGAAGAATATTTTTGTGAATGTTAACTGATGGAAGAAGGAAGCCAAGTGATCAGAATAGCTCAGTTGACCTGTTCACAGACACATTCCCCCCCCCCCCCCCCCTTAATTGAATTAGGAAATTTGCCTGAAATAAACTTTAAATAAGAATGTGTCCATAGTACACAGATGCCCCACTCGCACTATCATTTTCTATGTTCAATGGACCGTGAAATTGGGGTCAAAACTCTAATTTGGCATTAAAATTAGAAAGATCATACCATAGGGAACATGTGTACTAAGTTTCAAGTTGATTGGACTTCAACTTCATCAAAAACTACCTTGACCAAAAACTTTAACCTGAAGCGGGACAGATGGACAGAAGGCATAAAAAAATCAGTGCACATCTTTCTAGTGGCGAAAAACAGGCATATCGAGTTACGTAGATGAAAAAGAATAAGTATATTAATAATAATTATATATATAATGTCAATTTCATAAATTCAAGGATTATAGCTAGAAAACGACCTTAAACACGATTCGTGATTTCCCATGTATATAAATTCAAACAGATTTATTAATTTTTATCTATGTTTTTCTTTCAAAAAACTCATAACGTATAGTCATCTATAAAAGGCCCCACATGAAAAATATTAAACAATTCAATTCAGAAAACTAATCATGTATACATGATTAAGGATAACTATTATTTCAATATTTCATATCACGAAAACTAAATTAAGGTAAGATCCACATTTTCAAAATAAACTGTTGACATAGAGATGTCTCGCTTTTTGTAATTTGAAAGTAAAACGCAAATGTTAAAATAAAAATGGCAATATTTCAACATGTCAACTATGTAAAACATTCAAAGTCAATGAACCATGACTGCAGGTGCAGGGCCAAATAATCTCCATGAAAATTGGAAATGTCAATGCTTATACAACGGCATACCAACTATCATTGAGTTAATATTAGAATAAAATGAAATACAGTGATCTAATCGTAAACTACGCAAAATATTCGAAGTCAATAGACCATGACTGAGGTAAATGAGATGAGCGAATGCTAATACATCTGCATACCAAATTTCATTGACCTACAAAGAATGGCTCCCCTTTAACTGACCTAATCAAGAACTAATTCATGTAAACTAAGCAAAAGTTTCAAAGTCAATAGATCATGACTGAGGGGGCGGCCAAATAATCTCCATGGAAATGAGAAGTGCCAATGCTAATACAACTGCATACCAACAACAAGTGGTTCCCCATAAACTGCCCTAATCACAAACTTATACATTATTGAAGCTTCCACAGCCGGAAATAGGACACCTAAGTCTGGCTTTTTCAACTTCATCAAAGCGAGACAAAAAATATTGTACATATCAATTGCACAAATAAGATTTATCACAGTCAAAAATACGGACCAATTAAAGTATGGTAGTTAAAGAAGAAAGGTGAGGGGGGAAGGAAGTAATGATTAACTTTAGGGGGGAAGTAGGTAATGATTAACTTTAGGGGGGAAGGAGGTAATGATTAACTTTTTTCTTGGATGACTGCATTGTAGAATTCTATTGCTACTTTTGATATAAATAAATCTTTGTCATAGAAATTGATATATTTTACCAAGGAATCTGTTGACACATGCTTTCTTTCTTTCCAATTTTGGCATTAAAGACAGAAATCCTATATATTATTAACTTAATGACTGACTGAATATTTTATTTACATACAATAAAATTAAGGAATAAAAGTACTGTAGTTAAAGAGTTGCCACCGTTAATTGGCGATTTGACTGTTGCAAATGCAGTTTTGCTGGTGACGGGTATCGGAGCCAGTAAAATAGATATTTGCTACTGTCCAATCAAAATTGACTGCGGCATCTCTTTAACTACAGTACTGTTATTCCTATTCGAATGCATTACAACAAGAAATTGTACATTAGAGCTTGTCAAAATGTATAAATGTACGATAAAATAAAATTCCATGAAAATTCATGAATGATTTTGGCGCTTAAACATCATGGCGAAACATGACGTCATACAAATGAAAACATTCAAGGTTATTTCGTTATTTGTACGATTCAAATTTGGATAAAAACTCATTGAAATGGAGTTTTTGAGGCAACTTATGTTTCATTTTAGATTATATTGTATTAATCAAACATTTGTGAATTCCAGCAATTAAAACATGTCAATTGTGGATTTGACTGTAAATTTTATCCATTGAAAAAGTTTATTACATAAAGATTTCATTAGAATAATCAATAGTAGGATGTTATATGTGCAAACAGAGACTGGAAATAGAGATAGTTTAGTACTAAGCAGTATGTATTAGTCTTCTTACCTTGCTGATGGAATCCTTTAGAGAAAAGAAAACAAGGTTAATTCATTAGCTAAGCAGTAACATGCTACATCATAGTTTTTATAGTTTCATTTTATATCAAACCAGAATAAATTGCTTTGCCAAGCGCAGCTGGATACAACCGCAAAGGTCCAACCCTGAACAGTTGGGGCAAAAATGGACACAATATTCGCGCTTGATACAGGTCTGAATTTGGATTGTAATTAAATATTTGACACATAATAGGTTTCTGACACAGATTAACTGTAGTCAAAGAACTTAGAATTGTTTATATGTTTTGAATTTATATTCAATTTTTTGCTTTTGTGCAATACACTATGCTGTTGCAAATTGACCCCCCCCCCCCAAAAAAAAAAAATTTTCATCTAAATTTCTGAAATCTGAAATGAGAAATTTGTCCACCCCCTCACAATTTCTTTTTTACCCCCCCCCCCCCCTTTCCCCAATTTTTTTTTCACCTCCCCCCCCCCCTCTTTTTCCAAAAAAAAAAATTCTTTCCCTCAAAATAATCTCAATTCAAATTTCCAATGGAGTTTGCAACCATAATTGACATACATTATCATGGCTAAAATTAATATTCCTTAATCAGCATTTTTAAATAGTAACTTCTAAAAATAAATTGACAGCTAATCATCTCAAGACAATACAACATTTCTTTATACATAATTTCAAAGCAGTGTAAGGGAGGTATTCCAAACATAACATTGTACTTTTTTTTAATTATCCATTAACCAGGAAACCCTTGTTTTTCCCCCTTTTTTGCCCCTAATTCCTAAACGGTTTGAGCCATAACCCCCCCCAAAGCCAATCCTAACCATCCCTTTGTGGTATGGAAACTTGTGGTATAATTTCAGAGAGATCCATACACCGTTCCACAAGTTATTGTCTGGAAACAAGAAAAATGCTTATTTGGGCCCCTTTCTGGCCCCTTATTCCTAACTTGTTAGGACTATAACCCCCAAAATCAATCCCAACCTTCCTTTTGTGGTTATAAACCTTGTGTTTAAATTTCATAGATTACTATTTACATTTACTAAAGTTATTGTCTGGAAACCAAATGTCTTCGGACAACGCTGACGATGATGACGACAACGTGATACCAATATACGACCGCAAAATTTTTTGCGGTTGTATAAAAACTGTGTTTCCAAGATCACAAAGTCACAACCCAAATTTCCAATATGTATGTTTGTCCATGCTTTGCTATGGGAAACAAAAAAAAACACAATTCAGATCAAACAAGGAAATATAGAGTGTGCAGGGGCATGACATTTTACACTTAATCCATTTTGGATATGGACTGATTGATATTTTAATCTGGGAAACATGATTTATTTCTAAGTTGTAATTAGCTTTGAACTAATTTAGTAACTGTGAGTACTCAGTACTTTGTGTCTATAGTTTTTTGTTAGTTAATTGTATTTTGTGCTATAGTAAAGCCTATTTCAACTGATACTCACAGTTTATTCTTATGTTGTGCTGTGACAACTGTCCCAGGTTGGGCAGGGTTTGGCGTTTGCAAAGATGTTTAACCCTGCCACATTTTTGTATGGGCCTTTCCCAAGTCAGGAGCCTATAAATCTGTAGTTGTTGTTAGTTGCTGTCTATCATATTTGTTTTTTGCTTATTGTTTTGTACATATGTCTGGCTGTTGGTTTTCTCATTTGAATTGTTTTACATTTTAAGGCCTTTAATAGCTTACTATATGGCATGGGTTTTGCTCAACTAATTGTTAACTATTGTGTTTTCTATTATTTTGTTTATATTATTTTCAGGTACATGTTACTTGGTGGGTTTTGTTTATAGATTAGTAAAGACATTAGATTAGACAATAGATTTTATAATAGAAGCCATAATTAATCAACTAACAGTGGTAGCAGAGCTAATAAAGATGGCAACAGCACCTAGTTACAAGAACCCACCAGGTTTGACCAAAGATAAAAGTTATCAACAATGGAAAAATGAGGTAAAAATGTGGCAACTTGTGACTGATCTGGACAAGAAGAAGAGAGGTTTGGCTTTAGCTTTGTCTTTACAAGGAAAACCAAGGGAAGTAGCCCTAGAAGTAGATCCCAGTGATTTAAATGTTGATGAAGGAGTAGATAAGCTAATAACTGAGTTGGACAAGCTTTTTCAGAAGGATAAAATAGATCAGGCTTATGCTGCTTATACTGTATTTGATCAGTTCCACAGAGGAGAGGATGTAAGCATGTCTGATTATATCATTGAATTTGAGCAGAGATATAATAAATGTAAGAAATATGATATGGGACTTCCAGACGCAATTCTAGCTTTTAAACTTCTTGACAATGCTGGATTAAGTCAAAGTTATCGTCAGCTGGCATTAACTGCATGTTCTGACCTTAAATTCGACACAATGAAATCTGCTTTGAATAGGATATTTGCATCAAAATCTCAAAATGTTCCTGGAGAACGAGACTCTGTTGTAACTGTTAAAGAAGAATCAGCTTTTGTCAGTGATGGCTATTATCAGAGAGGTTGAAGTTCAAGAAGAAATTTTCCTCGTAATCGAGCTGATAGATCTACCAACTTTAGTAGACTTAAGACTAAAATGAATCCAGTCTTTAATGGTAATGTCTCAAGATGTAAAATATGTGATTCCAAATTTCATTGGGTCAAGGATTGTCCTCACAAGCAGCTTGATGTAAATTTAACAGAACATGAGAGTGATGAATTAAATGAAACTGTAAATATAACATTATTTACCTCAGCACAAGAATTTAAGCCTCTAACAGTGTTTGTCGCAGAAGCCTACAATGCCGCAGTTATTGATACTGCATGTTCTAAGACAGTATGTGGTTCTAAATGGTTGTATGAATTTGTAGAATCACTTGATCCAGGGCTTGATCAAATTACTTGTTTTGAAAGTCATGTACCATTCAAGTTTGGTGATGGACAAACAGTATACTCATATCAGAAAGTGAAAATCCCAGCACTAATTGGGTCAGTTAAGTGCTCAATTGAAACAGAAGTAGTGGATTGTGAAATACCGTTATTGTTAAGTAAAACCTCTCTGAAGCGAGCAAGCACTATCCTTGATCTCAGCAATGACCAGGTTACCATGTTTGGACAGTTAGTGGATGTGAACCTAACTTCAACTGGTCATTACTGTATCAACATTAAAGACAAGCAATATACAAACAGAAACAAAAATGAGAGTGAGGAGGTTTTGTGCATTGATACAAAATTATCTTTTAAGAAGAAAAGGGAGATTCTATTGAAGTTGCACAAGCAGTTTGGACATGCATCATCAGATAAACTTTTATCCCTTTTGCAAAGTGCTGGTGATGTTGATTCTGAAACAAAGACAATTCTTAAAGATATCTGCTCAAAGTGTTTAATTTGCCACAAGTTCAAACATCCAAAAGCCAAACCAGTTGTTGCCTTTTCACATGCAAATGATTTCAATCAAATTGTGGCAATGGACCTTCATGAAATTGACCATAACTTTTATTATCTACATATTATTGACTTATTCAGCAGATTGAGTGCAGCTGCTATCATCAGAAGAAAGGATTCTAAAGTTATTGTAGACAAGTTCATGCAGATATGGGTTGGTGTTTATGGTGCACCTGAAGTTGGTGTTTATACAGATAATGGAGGAGAATTTAATTCACAGATATTTAGAGACATGGCAGAAAATTTGAATATGTCAGTAAAAACAACAGCAGGATACAGTCCATGGTCCAATGGAGTAGTTGAAAGACACAATGCAACTCTAACAGAAACCATCAATAAAATGAGAGAGAGCTCTAATCTTTCATGGGAGACTGCCGTCAGTTGGGCAGTTCATGCTAAGAACAGTTTGTTGAACGTGTATGGCTATAGTCCATATCAAATAGTTTTTGGAAGGAACCCAAACATGCCATCATCTATAGTTAACAAGCCTCCTGCATTAGAAGGTACAACCATTAGTAACGTTATGGGAAAACATCTAGTTGGCTTACACGAAGCTAGAAAAGCATTTATTGCGGCAGAGAAAGTTAGAAGGGCATTACGCAAGCAAATCCGGCCTTCAGGAGAAAAATTCAAAAATGGTGACAAAGTTTTCTTCCTTCGAGACAATCAGTGGAAAGGACCTGGCTGGGTAATAGGTCAAGATAATGTAGTTGTTTTTGTAAGATATGGAGGTACATATGTGCGCGTACATGAAAGTAGAATAAAAAGAGACATTGATGTTGAAAGAAAACAAAAGATTACTCATAAGCATACAGCAAAGTCAACTCATGTGCGTAAGTCGCAAGCTGCAACCTATAACAACAACAACAACACTGAACCAGATCATGACCTAGTATACTATGAGAGTGATGATGAAGAGCCTCTTCACAATGATACTGACAATGATGAAAACCAAGAAAATGTTGAAGGATCTGCAGACGAGAGTGCTGCTGATAGTGCTGATCAAGATGATAGTCATGCTGGTAGCCAGAATGGTAGTTTGAATGGTGAAGATAGTCCTGAATCTGATGAGAGAGACAGCCTTGATTTGGATCAGGCAGAGAATGATATACATGAGGAAAGTATGGAACATAATGCTGAGTCACAGGCAAATGATTGTATGAAATTAAAGAAGGATCAGATGGTGAATTTTAAAATTACTGGTGAAAATGACACAAGAGAAGCAATAATTTTAGGCAGGGCAGGAAAGGCTACAACTGATAAGAAGAGCTGGTACAATATAGAATACAATCAGCCAGAAAATATTAGGGGTGAACAGATTTCAATTGATCTAAGAACAGTCAATGATTTAAAAGTTGTAAACCAGTCAGATGACGAGAATGAAGATGTACTTTTAAGTGATATTGATTTTACCGAGGCTAAAGAGGCAGAACTGGATAACTGGAGAAAGCACAATGTGTATGAAGAAGTTAAAGACAATGGTCAAAACTGTATCTCCACAAGGTGGGTTTACACTATGAAAGAATTGGAAAACGAATTTCATAGAAAAGCTAGATTGGTAGCAAAAGGTTTTGAAG